GAAGAGCAGGAGACTCACGCGGAATCTTTTTTCGCCATTTCTTTTGTCAGATAAAACAGAAGCAAACGGTAGGTACACGTTGACAAATAATAAATACTTAAAAACCTCATCTGTTTAACAAACAGACAGACTAACCTTTTGAGACGAGCCCTGGAAAGTGCACACGAGATCTGTGAATTTTTTTTTCCTCGTCAAACTCCAAGAAGCCTTTCTCCGAAGACGAAAGTGATCCAATTGATTTGCTTTGTGCTGAAAGGACAGTTTTTGTTTCCCCAATCTTGCACTCAAATCGCAACGGAATGATCTCCACTGAGGATTGCCTGCCCCCTATCGACAAGAACGAGAACTGCAGGATCGTACACGTAAAACAAAACCAAACAAAAACATGTCAACTAATGTTTGGGATATTACAGTTTTAGTACTACGATCTGGTTAGTTAATATGTATTTTTAGACAGTGGGGTTAACTAAATATGGCTTCCAGTCGACAAAAGGCACTGGTATATAAACAATGTTAAACTTAACTGATAAGACAATACCAGCCATCAACATTTTCTTTCCCCCCCCAATCAAAATTTCAACCTAATTGCATCGCATTAGGTCATAGCCAGGATATGTGGTCATTGCACACCGGCCAATGAGGATGAGCGAGGCTGTGGCTGATCCTCATCCTGACCACCTGTTCCATCTTAAAGGTTTTCTGCAGAGGCATGCTTAGAGAAGAGTGTGGAGGGAAAAAAGCAGCAGCCTGCTACAGAAAACATGTCCTTAAAAAGAGATCTGACGTTCAAGTAGTTGAATTGTCTGTAGCCAGACTGATTTTGCAGGATGTCAATGAGAACTCTCCCCCTGGTTTTTATTAACCTTGGTGGGGAGATGCTTTACATACTGGACCAGCGCCTGCACGCTCACAGCACTTCTGAGGACAAGTCTGAGAAGGGTAGGTTGAAAACTTCTGACAGTTTTTCACTCTTGGCGCTGTTATAATGTATGCGAGATGTTTTTAGCAATTTTTTTTAATTGTATAATTGTTTTTCTTTTGTCTTTTTCTTTGGAAAGCTGCAGGAGTGTGGTCTGAAAATGACAGAAAAAGAGGTACAGGCAATACGCTAAAGCAGGGGTTCACTAGCTTTAGCTTAGGAGTCCGTAAAATGGTGTCGTATGAGTGCATTCCGTCACACTGCCTTCAATATAGCAAAGTATCCCATGTTCAGTTTTGCCATCACCGAGAGATGATCAACTTCTGTGTTTCCATCCCTCCCCATTGACAGTGATGAACGACATCGTCGGGACCATGTTCAGTCAAGCCTTCATGGATGAAATTCTGAAACCTCAGCTGTTGTATTCACACAGGACGATGAAAGTCGTCCTGACTCGCTTGGCGCACGTCTCGATCATGAAGTTGAATGCGGTCAGCATGGAGAAGGTAACGGAACACCAAGGCGAGATGACAATCATGAACACGCTCTTCAAAGAAATTCATCTTTGACAGGGGCGATGAAAACCGACCATGAACACAAATGAACAACAAGTAGAATGGGGAAAGAAATGCACACTTCCCAGGATAAACATACGTTTGGTCTATTTTCAAACAGCTCTACGAGCTGATGCTCATGGCCTTCAAGTATCAAGTCTTCCTCTGTCCACGCCCGAAGGACTTGCTGCTCATCTCGTACAATCACATCGACACCATCAGGGGATTTGTGAAAGACACCCCGGCAGTTCTCAACAAAGTGGACGAGACTCACAGAAAGATCATCGAGGTAGACCTGATCCAGTCAATCCAGAAAATATTCGAGACCCATTTGCTGCCGGCTGGAATAGTTGAAAATCTGCGACAGAGAGGACAAAACAAATTTATTCTTATCAAAACACATCCAGACTGATTAAAACACAATTTTGAAGGTATTTCTTAATGCTTGTTTTCACTTGAACTTTTCTAAAAAGAGGTGAAGTGTGCTTGCTTCAAGCTCCCTGTTAACGTTTACTGTCAAAGTGACACATTAAACTTCGAGGAATCAAACGTAAACAGCCAAACGTTCGACCAAACCATTTAATTTTGGGTAACGGAAGACCACTAGCTTAATGCTAATATATACAATTTGAAAGATTGCCTCAGGAAATTTAGCATAGATGTTA